GGTGCTCCCGCAGAGGGTTCGGATCCCATATAGAGACCGGTCCGCTCACTGGTTGAGCACGGTGTGGGTGCGACACCGAGGGTTGCGATCCCGCTACCGGTCACAAAAAAAGACAAAAAGGAAAAAAAAAGAAAATGTGGTATATCTACACAATGGAATACTACTCTGCTATAAAAAAGAATGAAATACTGCCATTTGCAACAACATGGGAGGAACCTAGAGAAAATTAAATTAAGTCAAACGAGTCAGGCATAGAAAGAGAAATATCACATGTTCTCACTTATTTGTGGGACCTAAAAATAAATAAATACACAAATAAACTGGGGGGGGGAGAAGACACAACATTACAATTCCTTGAAGTTGATACAGCAAGCAAACAGATATGAGGTTGTTGCGAGGGAGGAGGGAGAAGGAGGAGGGAGAGAGGTTTAGGTAATGGGCTACAATAATCAATCACATTGTATACTGACAAAATAAAATTTATAAATAAATAAATAAATAAATAAAAACTTTGCCTAAACATGTAAATAACATAAATGCCCAATTATCAATATTAACACTATAGCAAATGCACATTTTTAGGTAATGGGCTACAATAATCAATCACATTGTATACTGACAAAATAAAATTCATAAATAAATAAATAAATAAATAAAAACTTTGACTAAACATGTAAATAACATAAATGCCCAATTATCAATATTAACACTATAGCAAATGCACATTAAAATAGGTGAGCATGCATGTATATATACTTTACCTAGTTAGTTCTTTGAATTCTTCATATTCTTGCTTTGAATTATTCAGCTCTGTCTGAATTTGCAGGAGTTGTGCTTTTAACCTCTCAGTGTTTGCAAATGAACATGGTTCTCTTGGAGCTTTAGCAGGAAATCCTTGCTGAGCTGATAATAAGGAAACAATCTCAGTCTTTGAAAAACAAAAATGGCTAGTTAGCTCAGTTGGTTAGAGCACAGCCTTGCAACAAACACCAAGAACAAAGGTTCAGATACGCTTACCAAGCAGTTGCCAAAAAAACAAAAAAGCAACAACAAAAAAACACATTTTCTAAGTTCTTTGGTTAGGTATCAATTTTGAGGCACAAGGATGAAATATGAGAAATGGGTTGGAAGGTGGGACCTAAAATACAAGAGTTTATTACTTAGCAGGAGACATGGGATGCCACATAGTATCCCAAATAGGTTTAGAATTCATGTTTAAGAAGCACAGAGAGCCTCTGGTTGAGGCAGCGGAACAGACAGTCCCCAACATCACCCTCTCCCACAAATCAACCAATTTACAACTATAGGAACGACAGCCAAGCTGGGGCTGCCAGAGCTCAGAGGAAGAGGAGGAGAGACCTACAGGTTCTTGAAAGCAGGAGAAGCCATGATGGATCGCTCCTACCATTTCAAATTCTGGCCGGTTCAGGGCTGGAGCTGGTGAGTGCAGAGAGCAAGAGCTGGCAAAAGCTGCTGCTGTGCCCTTCCTATGAAGTTGCTTGGAGGCGGCAGGGGAAAAGAGGGCCTTGGTGGCCCTCAGGCCAGCAAGACCACTAACAGGGTTCCCGTGGACCCATGTAGGAGCGAGGAGCCACAATAACTGAAAAAAAGAGCCACTCAGGAGTCGGTGAGTTATCGCAAGGGACTAGCACACGGCCCATCCATGGGAAGTGTTTGGAGTGCAGGCAGTGGGGGAGACAGGCCCACCCAGGGAACATTGGGGCACAGCATGGACAGATCATCTGCCCTCCAATCAGCACAAGTCAACTCTGTGTAGACTGGTCAGGAATATAGAACTGCAGGGGGAGCAGTTTGCTGAAAAGGCTCAGGTCCAGACCAGAGTTTCTACACAACCCAGCTGTACTGGATCTCATGAGACCGGAAGTACTTACAAAGTCAACCATTAAAATTTGAGCTGTACAAAAAGCCTTCCCCAGGGAATCAGTAGCAAAGAAGCAATTTAGCTCAACTACAGGGCTCAAGTGCTGGTCCCCACAGGAAGTTCCACCATTTTAGAAGTAAAAGGACAACAAATTAGTTCCAGTGCAGAGTTTAAGTAGTAGAAACAGCATATAATCCAACACAGAACTGAAAGAAAAGACAACATACCCACAGACCAGAGACAAACTTTGATATTAACTAGTAAAGGTCTCACTTCACCAAAGAACACCTACAAAACCTAGAAGGACTAGAAGCCCCTGGGCCCCCAAACCAGGAAGTAGGGAGAACCGGGGGCCTCATCCATGCTCCCTGACACACACAACCAGCCTAGGAACGACCACCAAGCCACTGCAGAAATTATCCCAGGCCCCTGAGCTGGGAAGGTGGGGGGCCTTGGGCCTTGGCCATGCTCTCCTGACACCTGCACCTAGTCCAGCGATGACCACTGAGCCACCTCAGGAAATACCCTGGGCTCCCAAGCCAGGGCAGTGGGGGACCGAGAGCCTCAGACACATCCCCCCAATATCCACACACAGTCAGTGACAACCACCAAGCTGCCACAGGAAGTACCCTGATCTCTGGAGCCGGGCAGTGGGGGTGCTGAGGGCTTCAGCCACACCCCCCGACATCTGCATTCAGCCCAGTGATGCCCAAGCCACCACTGGAAGCCCTCTGGTCTCCCCTGCAAGAATGAGGGGGGTACCACAGGCCTCAACCACACTCCCCCTTCCTCCTTCTCCCACCCTACTTCCTTCCCCCTTCCCCTCTCCTCCTCCCACCCAACTGTTCTGCAACAACATTGCAGAATGTAAAAACAGATGGAGCCAGGGACCAACCCCTCCTCCTGCAACCAGGCACGCTGCTGCTGCCATGGGGTGTGTCCGAGGTCCTGAGGCATGCAGTTGGCAACTGACCCCTCCTCCCACAACCAGGAAAGGAGCATTCCAAAAACACCACTTCCATGTGAGTAGCCCACCACAGCCACTACAATAGCCACGTCCGAGGTCCTGAGGCATGCAGTTGGCAACTGACCCCTCCTCCCACAACCAGGCAAGGAGCATTCCAAAAACACCACTTCCATGTGAGTAGCCCACCACAGCCACTACAATAGCCACGGCTGCCACAAAAGCAGCTAGATGCCACAACCACCGTGCAGATGGCCTGCCAGCCACTCGAGTGCATTGATGGAGAGTCACCAGTGAAGACCAAAGAAAAGAAGAGGATGTCTCTCTCCACAAAGCCCATTCTAGAGTGATAAAAGAAGCATCTACTCAACGATAATAGTGAGGACCTGAACACACACCTTTCTCAGCACTGGACAGATCATCCTGGCAACAAATCAACAGAGTATCCATTACTCTTTCAGAAGGAGAGAAGAAATCTAGGGTTATCAGAGGTGGGGGAGGGGGGAGGGAAAAGGGGATGGGGAGAGATTGGATAAGGGGCCTAAAGAATAAGTATGATTTGGGGCCGGCCCGGTGGCACACTGCTACAGTGCGCCGCTTAGGAAGTGCGGCAGCGCTCCCGCCGAGGGGTCGGATCCCACATACAGACCAGCCGCTCACTGGCTGAGCGAGGTGCAGGAGCAACACCAAAGGTTGCAATCCCGTTGCCGGTCCTGGTCCAGTACGGGCGCGACACTGAGGGTTGCGATCCCGTTGCCGGTCCCGGTCCGGTACGGGGGCAACACTGAGGGTTGCGATCTGATGCCGGTCACGAAAAAAGACAAAAAGAAAAAAAAAAAGAATAAGTATGATTTGTAATAATATAATAATATATATGCTAGCAATATTGATTTGATCAACATACGTCAACACTGAACTCCCAAAATGGGTATAATCAATTATGATTCGAGAATAAAAAAAAGAAAAAAAAGAAGCACAGAGGTCACAGTATGGAGAGGCATAGTTAAGGCAACAACTTTCCCATTGAGAGAAAGTGCAAACAATGACTGAAGTGCAACATGCCTAATGCTGGATGAAGAAGCATCTACAGCTGAATCTTGCAGGAGTTAGTGCTAGCAGCTAATGTTAACAATCAGTGAGTTATGTAGAAAAGGAAACAAACAGCAAGGGCAGCAAGTTGAAAGAACTTGGTATAATCTACCAGCTAGAAAATATTAATTTTTAGGGATTGCTTAGAAGACTGAGTGAAGAGAGTTCACTGAGTTTCAGCACAGAAAAATATTATGTAAATGTACTTTAGAGTATAATGGATGCTTGGAAAGTGGTGGGGTCCAGAAATTGTCGTCAATGTTTTTCAAAGGTAATAGTAAGTCAAGGTACTACTAAAGCCAAAATGGCCAACCAAATTCACAGCATTTCTATATAAGAAATATAGTTTAAATAAAACAGAAAACCTGATCTTAATTATAAACCTAAAACCTTAGTCTTTCCATAACCCCCAAACTGTGAATTTTATACTTTTATTCAGTTATAACAGAATGGAAGAAGGCTTAAAAAAGGAAAATTCAAAAAGCAGAGACAAAAAGTCTTCTTTATGAATGCAGAATAAAAAGATTAGAACTTTCTCAATTTCGGCCTAAAAGGAAACAAAGGCCAAGACTGAATATGATAAAAGACCATGAAAATACTAACTCCAGGAATGCGGCAAACACAGACTTTGTTACCAAATCCCAGGGCATTAACACCAACAGCTGCCAAGCCTGTAGGTTAGATTTAGTACTAACTAAACCACTTTTCACAAAGTAAAAGCAAAATTATGGAAATAAGCGTAACAGAGTGCACACATTGGTAACCACAACATCAGGACAACAGTGTGCTGGGTGGATCATAAGTCTGACTCCTCTGACATTTCTTACACTGTACAGACCTTAACCAACTTAATAAATATTTCAACTCTATATTTATTCATGTTTAATTCATTAAGCACTTTTCATTTCAAATACTTTAAACAGAAAAATTCCATTTAATAAAAATTAAAAGTAATATCTGAATAAATCTTTTTATCAACAAAACGGAGAAATGTAGTGGGTATTTCCTTGCTATAACTATTAGCCTACATAATTTACTACTCTACGATTTTTGAGAAAAAAAGTTTGGTACATGCCTTTTTATATTATAAAATTAAAAGTATGTGCATAAGAAACTAGCACAGTAAGTCTGGAGGCTAAAATGAAGACCCTAACTACAAGACACTACAATTCCTCTTTAAAACAGCAAGGCATGTGTACAATAATCATTTCTTACTTTTGTCAATTTTCTCTGTGCCAGATATTTCAGAGAAAGCTTTTTCTAGTGTTGCAATGGTCTGGGCATCCATTTCTTGGGCTCTCTTCACAGGCTCTAACAATCTCAGTCTTCTATTCTCTTCCCTGAGGGAATGATTTTCCATAGCATACTTTGCAACTCTGGGGTGGTGCTCTATCTGTGATGTAGAAAAATTACATGAGTTATATTTTTACAAACATTTCCTCAGCGAACTTGTCTCTCTAAAAAGCCATTAGAAAACTTTAGGAATAAGCATGCACTAGTGGCGGTACCCTGCTGCAACTACTGTGGAAAACAACTTGGCACTTGTGATCAGATTGAAAATATGCATATACTACAATTCTATTATTCAAAGATGGGGTCTATACCCCTTGAAATTTTCTTCCAGGCATCTAAGGAGATAGGCTCAAGGGTATACACAGTAGCAGATCCTCATGCAAAGGAGACTGGTTAAATCAACACGCTGAAAAGAATAAAGAAACTCTCAACCAAGATTGAACTGCCCTCCATGATACATTAACTGAAAAAGACAAGGTGCAGAAAAGTGTACAAAAGAAATACAAGTAAAAATATCTATCTATATTAGTTTTAATACTTGTACGCATTAGAAACTCTGGAAAGATACACAAAAAACTGCTAATAGATTTTGTTTTGTTTTGTTTTGTTTTGTTTTAAATGACGTGCCTCTATTACCTATCTATCCTCCCTAGGGAAAAGGAAAAACAATGAGAAAATTTTAAGTCTCAACTTTGAAGAGACTACTGACTGAGACAACTGCAGCTGCCCACTGGTATGAAATTCTGCTTGGCCTGCTGGGGTTGAGTGCTATGTAGTAACATCACTACCTCTTCCCTTTTCCCTTCAGGTTTAACTATTTTGGAAACGGAGAGAAAAGGAATTATGCAACCATACTGTCAGCAGACTTCATTTAAAATAATTTCCATTGCATTAAGGAACAAGTACTAGGTGACAAACTTATATTTGCTTTGAACTTCTTTTAGTTTTAGAAATACTACAGATGCCATGCACTTACTTGTTGTCGCAGAGTTTGAATCTCATCCCTTAATTCTGAGAGTAAACGATCCTGCTCCTCAGGCAGAAAACTTCCCCGGGATTCCTTATGGAGCTTCTCTAGGCGTATTATTTGATCCTCTCGAAATTTCACAATCATTTTATTAGATTGAATAAATTTTTCCTTTTTGAGGGTGAGGTCTTCTAATTGGGTGACTTTTTCTGCCAGAGACTTAAGAAATTTGTAATTTGGTAAAACACGAAAAATAGTTCAGTGTCCCTAAATTTTCATAAACCCAGCAACAAATACTAACTTCAAATTTAATCTTAAAGGCAAAATTAGATTTTTTACCACTTTCCTTTACTTTCTTTATTGACCTAGTGCTATTATTTCACTCAGTAAGGCAATAAAAACCACACAGTGAAAGCCTAAAATATCTTGAATCCTCTTCATACTAATTCAGTTTCCTACCTTCTTTTCTTGTTCAGATTTCTTAAAGAATAACATTGCCTCCTGAAAATACTTCATGTAATTAGTCTTCTCTGTATCTGTAATTGATCCAGTAAGAAAGAAAGGGAAAGGGAAAAAAATATTTCTCAAATTTCAAAACCAAGAGATGAGCTAAAACAGACAGGCTTTGACTGACTGCTCTCACCTCATCTAAAGAAACAGACTGTCATCACCAGATTAGATTCCAAATTAACCCATTCTACATATTAGCTGTTCTTCGAATAAAAGTAAGTTTCTCTTTATTTTGTTAACAAATACAGATTATATGTGGTACGACAGAATTAGAAGTGGACCTAAAAAAATAGGGGGTGTCCCAGGGTGCTGTGCATCTCAAGATCTAATTCACCCTCTGAAGAAAAAAGTCTCTCATATGCTATTTAGTAATCCCATATAGATTACATCTGCTACGACAGAACTTTGGAAGTGGATCTAAATGAAATTTATCAGTCTCTCTTGTTAGCACTTATTAGGGATGAATTATTCAAAATTATTTTGATTCCCCCTTCCCACCATATCTCACAGAACTCAGTGCCTATGGTATCTGTATCTGATTACAAAGTATTGTTTCTATACAGGTGAAATAAACAGAAAGAGGTAAACAAACAGAAAGAGATATTTGTGGAAAAATTTGGGTAGCCTTATTACTGTGCCTATCATCTGGGGGTTTTTATACTAATATTCACACATGGTCTTCTCCAAGATAAAGGACATTGCGCTCATCCTACCTCTAGTCAGAAAGCTTTCTGGTACTATCTGCCCTGAAGTAACCTGGGCCAGTTGTTCTTTGAGTCTCTTCACTTCATCTTGGAGCTGGCTCACATGTCCTTGGGTGTCTTCATTTACCATTGCCTGTTCAAGAATTTTTAAGAAACATTAAAAAAATGCTTTTTGAGTTGTATAGCCCTGTGTTTACCTTTGTTTGGGATGATTTAGAGCGATAAACATCAAACAAAACTGCACTTCCACCTCACAGTCAAAGGCCACCAGAAGCACAGTGTGCTGGCGTGGAGAGGAAGCTTCCTTTTTCTGTGCCTTCATAACTAGAGTCAGAAACAGCACCAGCCAGGCTCTTTTCTCCCTCTCCACTCCTCCCCTAGTGTCCCCACTTGCCTCCCGGCTCTGCTGACTAGCCCTGGGCTCTGTTAGGCTGGGTCCCCCTTAGGATCTGGGTGTGTTCACCTAACATTTCCTTCCCCCTGAGAAGGACAGCTCCCCCACCCTCCCAATAGAGAAGAGCAAACACCTCATTTTCCCTCTGTCCCAGCTCCCTATGGTGAAGGAGCCTAATCTACAAGGGCATGATGACTTGCAAGGCCAGCCTGAGCTCCATCAGCTTGGCAGAAACAACCCTCTCCAGAGGAATCAAAGCCTTTATTTTTTAACCAACTTCCTGAAAGGAAGAGTTGATTTGACAGCTCCATTTCTGTTTTTTCTGTTCTGTATTGTTTTGTTTTTTAAACAGTATCTTCATTTTTGTGGACGATGGAGTTGGGGGGTTCGCTCAGGTAGGGAACTCTGTCAAATTCAATAAGCCTGTTTTATTAGAATGGGTTTACTTGGCTATATTTCTAAAGAAGTACTTGAGGTCTTCAGTTTGTTCTTGCCAAAAACAAAGAAAATTCATTAAAAAAAAAAAAAAGACAACTTATAATAGGCTTAAAAAGGACCACGAACAAATGTACTACTGTGGTATGGATGTCAATAGTGGGGGAGGTTGTACATCTGTAGGGACAGGGAATATATGGGATCCCTCTGTATTTTCTGTTCAATTTTGCTGTGACCCTAAATCTGCTATAAAAAATAAAGTTTACTAATTTAAAAAAATAAAATTTAAAAAAGGCCCACAACAAAAAAATAAATAAAAAATAAAATAAATAAAAATTTTAAAAAGTCCCACAAAACCTAAAGGGTGATAAGTTCAACAGATGAGTACTAACAAGGCCAAAGGGACCCAGTTGTGAAATACCCAAAATTCCAGTGAGGAAATAACACCCTCTGACAGCCCCAAGGTCCCTGTGTTCTTGTCTTAGCTCAGCCTGCTCATTGGGAAAGCTTTAAATAGCTCATCCTTAAACAAGTTCCATATACTTTAGCACCTTCCACTGATGGTGGAGGAGGGAACTTACCATTGACAAGACTAGTATAAGGCTCCTGGTTTTGTTGTTTTGTGTATTAAGAAGCCATTTGCAGTTGCTTCTGATTCTTATGGCCAACCTCATTACAAGGCGCTACTATATGTGTCTGACATCATTGTCACATTGGTGACATCATAATTCTAATTATCACTGCAGTTCTACACTCTCCAAAGACTTCTAGTAAGTCTCAAGAGACTTAAGGTCAGGAAGCTATCATGATTTTTCCTCCTTATATTACTAATACCCCACTGAGGGTCATAATTCAAGGAAATAAAATAAAATGACTAGAACTATATACTCTTCTGATTTACCCAGAGGAAGGGGCAACATTAGTCTCTTCACTCAAACCATGATCAGGGAGTCTACTTGGGGGGTAAGAATGACTGATTTCTCTTTGAAAGAGAGAGAAAATTAGTCTACCAATTTATGGCACTACAGTTCTTTTGTATGGAACCAAAGGGGTGTCTCCAAAGTAAGTGGAAGACTCCTAGGTCTTTTAACAGTCTACACTAGGGGTTGGCAAAGTGCTGCCAATGGGCCAAATATAGTCCACTGCCTGTTTTTGTAAATCATGTTATACTGGAGCACAACCACACCCATTTGTTTACAAATTGTCTCTGGCTGCTTTCTCACTACAAAGGCAAAGCTGAGTAGTTGGGACAAAGACTGTGTGGTCCAAAAAACAAAAATATTTTCCAGCTGGCTCTTTATAAAAAAAGCGTTCTGACCTCTGGTGCACACCAATATCAAAGAAGTTTCGTGTATATAAAGTAAAATGGGGAACCCTTAGATGTAATATTGTGAAATATACATTTGGTCTTTGTCCCTGGCACACAAATCCTAAAATCCTTGGAATCCCCAAAGTGTTAAGTGTCTTTTTGTATGCTAATATGTTGCCTGACAGCCCATAGGTAGCTTCAAGATGGGAGCTGGTCACCTGAAAGACCAAGACAAGATAGAGGGTTGGGACTTTTCAACCCCACCCTCCAACCTTCAGCAAGAGGAGAGGGGCTGAAGGTTAAGTTGATCACCACTGGCCAATGACTTAATCAATTATGCCTACATAATGAAGCTTCCACAAAAATCCAAAAGAAGTAGGGGGTTCTTCAGGACAGCAGAACAAGTGGAGGTTCCTAGAGGGTGGTATGCCTGGAAAGAGCATGGAAGTTCTGTGCCCCTTCCCTCATACCTCGCCCTATGCATCTCTTAATCTGTATCTTTTGTACTATCCTTTGTAACAAACCAGCAAATGTAAGTAAAGTATTTCCCTGAGTTCTGTGAGCAGCTCTAGCAAATTAATCAAACCTGAGGAGGGGGTTGTGGGAACCCCCATTTATAGCCAGATTTATAGGTCAGAAGCACAGACAAAACAATGTGGGGCTTGTGATTGACACTGGAAGTGGGAGGGCAGTCTTGTGGGACTAAGACCTCAACCTGTGGGATCTGACCCTTTGTCCAGGCAGATAATGTCAGAATTGAATTGCATAAAGAACACCCTGTTGGTGTCCACGGCAGAAATGACTGATTGGTTGCTGGTAGGTAGAAATCCCCACACACTTCTTGGTGACCAGAAGTCACAGAAGTCATTGTTGAGTGACAGAATAGGAAAAATACTTTGGTTTTCCCCCTCTATCCTCAGACTGGAACTGTAGACAACGTGAAAGACAGTTTGTCAATGTTATCAAAAAAAAATGTACAGTATTGCCACCAAGGCTGAGAGAATATCCCAGTGTCAATCTTAGCGAGCATAACCAAAAAGAGCCCAGGAACCCAATGATCTACTTTACCCGTAGTAAGAAGGTAAGTTTGGAGTCTGTAGCAAACATGTCTCTGTTTTCCATTACCCACATCAACAAGTGCAGTGATTTCTTGGCTCAGGCAGCTCAATGATCGGTTTATGTTACCTGCTTCCTAAGACGTTGGGGAAAAAAGCAAAAATTTAGATGTACTGATTACTTTCTGGTGTTTTGAATTAAAATATATGTAGCGGAGTGACAATTCTGTATGGAAAGTCAAGTCATGGACAATATTAGTTATGAACAACTAACTTTACAACAACAACAATAAAAAATTTGCTCAACTATTCCCTAACCTTTTTCCATTTGATGTACACTGTAATTTTAGTATTCGAAGACAAACACATAAATTGTGCAAAGAAAAAAATACTAAGGACACCTCATGATTTTAATAGTTTAAAATTCACCTGCAGCAAGAGATAAAGAACAGAAAAAAATATAGAAAAAAAAGTTGGACTAGTTCATTAATAGGCACATCTTTAAACCCTTTCTCATTAAAATGTTTAAGGGTGTGGTAACTAATAACCCACCTCCAAAACCTCTGAAGCCCCTGATGAACTTATTACAAGAGAATATTCAGTCTTAATTCTGTAAAGGATAATAAAACTCTTAAAACAGTAGTTTGAAGAAAAAAGAAAAAAGCTTCGGCTAAATATGTTCCATTGGATTTCTACTGTAGGTAGCATATTTTGATACTTGGGTCTGAAGTGATGAGAGTATTGAAAAAAAAGAGTGAAAATTATAAAGCAAAATGTACTGAGTTCGGAGTCACTACTATCAGTTATTGTTAAGTAAATCAGAAAGGTGGTTTACTGGCATGGGTGACAGCACTGTCTATGGAGCTGGACTGACCTGGTTTGAATCTCAGCTCTACCCTTATTAGCTTTGTGACCCTAGACAATTTACTTCAGTTTCTTTATCTGTAAAATACAAAGGATAATAGCACCTACTTCCTATTAGGCCTCACAATCAGCTCAGCATAAACATATCCATGTTAACAGCTTCTTCACCCTGCCCCCTCCCTTTCTCTTAAGCAAGTGCTTTCTGAGAAAAAACGGATTTTGTGCAAAACAGAATCTTGTGCAGAACAGGAAAACCGCAGAGCCATTCCAAAATGCTGAATGCTCAGAATAGCTACCAAACCCCTTCTAAAAATTTATGCTGTCCACCCAAACCCCTTCTCCTAATTCAAACCCTACAAAATCTCTTTTAGTCTGTATGGGGTGGGGAACTGATCTTTCAGTCTCCCCTCTAGGTTCGCTAGAAATAAACTCCCTGATGTGGTAAACGTTTGGCTTGGAGTCCTTTGATCTCTTTGTCTTGCCAACCTAACACTTCCCAGAGTTGTTGGCAAGGTTAAATGAGTTAATATAAGCAAAGCATTTTAGAATAGTCTGGCATATGTCCTATTATAAACATACGCTATTTTTATTATGCTTCGTATCTTAATAGAAACACAAGCCTTTGGTTGCCTGAAACTTCCTGAGAGCTCAGAAGACTCAAATCCTCACTTTTAATGCAAAGAGTAGATCTCTTCTTCACCATTTCTGACTCCCCGCCCCTAGTACACACATATCCTAAACTACAGAATCCACACATTTCGTTGGCAATTCATATTATAATATATAGACATAGACATATTGACAATACGTATTACACAGAACTGCTAATACCTTAGCCTAGGACTAGGTCCTTAACTCTTTACACCTAAAATATTAAACAGCATAACTGGTCTCCTTTCTCTTTAGGCTCTTTACCTCTTGAAGCTGGAAGTGGTGAGTCAGATGGTTAAGTTTTTATAAAAAAGGCTTTCTTCATGAAATCACTCATCTTCTCAAATCTTTTTTGTGTGTGTGTGTGTCTTTTTTCATGACTGGTAACGGGATCGCAACCCTCAGCGTCACGCCCGTACCGCAACCGGCAACGGGATCACAACCCTCGGTGTCGCGCCCGTACCGCGACCGGCAACGGGATCGCAACCCTCGGTGTTGCGCCCACACCGCGCTCAACCAGCAAGCGGATCGGTCTCTATATGGGATCCAAACCCTCGGCGGGAGCGCCGCCGTGCTCCCAAGCGCCGCACT